GCTTGCTTTTTCACTATGTCTCTCCCTCTCTCTCTCTGGTCAAATTGAAGAATAATAATAAATAAATTTTTAAAGTTTAAATAAATGATAGTAAATGAATAAAAGAATAAGAATATTCTTTTCATTTTAAAAAAATATTTAATTTAAAAAAATTATTATGTTTTAATTTGATATAGGCACATGTGCTCATCAGAGAGACAATGAGAAAACAAGCCACCAGGTCCAAGACTTGAAACACAGTCAACCATGCGGGAGTCCAGCACTCCAACCACCACACCACCTTCTGGCTTCAGGGAAATAATTTTAGGTCATTTTTCAGAACACCGATGTATCGGGGACCAGCAGGTGGTGTGGTTAAGGCACTGGACACTCCCACATGGCCTACCACAGTTTGAATCCTGGACCTGGTGGCTTGCTTTCTCACTTTCCCTCCCTCTCTCTGTGTGTCTCTCTCTGGTCAAATTTAAATAAATAAATAAATGAGTGGATAAATAAATAGTTTTTTAAAAATCACAGATGTATCAAGAGACAAAGTAGCGTCACTTTTCTAATCACACCTTTGTTAATCATACAATATGCTATTGATGCTAATTTGCCAACAGCCTTAATGTGTCAGAAATGTAGACTCAAAAACAGAATTCAGATAATATGGTGTTGGAGTGTAGGACCCTTGAGACCAAAAATAAGAAAGAGATCATTCTGGTAAATAAAGCACTGCCTGAGTGTTTAAAATAAACTCACATAGGTGCTCTGTTACATTTTGGACCTCATCTTCTGTTGTTGGCCTGAAGCCCCTACTCCCGAGTAAGACTGGTTTTCTTTTTCTTTTCTTAAGTTTTTTTTTTTTGGTCATAGCATGCATGCGCTTGCCAGAGAGAGAGAAAGGGATCACTCTCCAGGGAGGATGGCCATGCCTCAATCCCTTCTCCTTTATTCTCCTCCTGTGATTTTGGTCATGTACGCACAGGTGCCAGTGTGGTTTTCAATCCACCAGGTCCAGGATTTGAACCATAGTCATGTGGGAGTTTGACACCTCAGCCACTATGCCAACTGCTGGCCCCACAAATCTGTTTCTTTTTTTATATTTTATTTATTCATTCATTTCTTTAATTTGACCAGAGAGACACAGAGAGAGATGGAAAATAAGAACATAAGCCACCAGGTCCAGGACTCGAACTGCAGTTGGCCATGTGGGAATGTCCATTGCCTTAAAGAGATTTTTGCTATAGGATATGTGCATTTGCTGACAAGACAGAGACAGACAGAAAGTGAAAAACCCCCCCTGCCACAATCCCTTCTCCATTCTCCTCTCAGAATTTGGGCACACATGCACACATGCCCGATGGGAGTTTCAAGGCTCCAGGTCCAGGACTCCTACTGCAGTGGGCCATATGGGAGTCTATCAGCATATCCGCTACACCATCTGCTGGTCCTCCCAAGTTAGTCTTTTCTTAATGTACAGGTATGTTCAGAAGGGAAGCAGCTTGTTATATGGCATGTGTGCAAGAAATGAAACGCATACAGGATTCTATCAGTCTAAGAAATATGGCTAGCCATACTCTACTCCCCAACATCTGTGTGGCCCATACCAATGCACACATCTTCTGCAGTCTCCTTTAGATCAGATATTGGTAGGTAGCTTGGTTAACCTCCCTCCCCCCTGCCCAGTCTCTCCAGGGCTCTTGGATATTTTGAGAGCAGCTATGGTTCCATCACTTGAAAATATTTACACTGCCTTTTTTTTTTTTTTTTTTTTTTAATTTGAGCAGAGAGAGACAGACCGAGAAAGGGAAAGCAAGAGAGGAAGCTGCCAGGTTCAGGACTCAAACCGTGGCCATGGTTGGCCATATGGGAATCCAGCACTCTCAACCACCTCCCTGAAGGTGATTTCTGATGTTCTCTCTGGCAAGCACACTTAAAACACTATAGCAAAAATTGCTCATTAAAATAAATAAATAAAAGGAACTATGGGGACTGGCAGGTGTTATGGTGGGACACTGGATTCCCACATAGCAAGCCACGGTTCAAGTCCCAGACCAGGTGTCTTGCTTTCTCATTTTCTCTCTCTCTCTGTCTCTCTCTGATCAAACTGGAAAATAATAATAAAGTTAAATCATTATTTTTTAAAAAACAGAACTATGATTCCTAAAGGCAGAGTCATTCCAGATATATTGGGTTGTCGGAAAAGTCGTGACATAGTTTTTCTATGCAAAAATGTTTTCTGACAACCCAGTGACTCAGATCACTGATGAGAGCTGGATAAGTTCAGTACAAACGGGTATCATGATGTCTTCCTGGCATTACTGAGTGTTCTCCAAGTTTGGTGGTGGTATACCTATACACCTGTGAAAATTCACAATTACACTTCAAACAGTATCCGTGTATATTAAAAATCATTAAAAAAGGGGGACCAGCAGGTGGTGTGGTGGTTAAGATGCTGGACATTCCCACCTGGCTGACCACAGTTCAAATCCTGGACCTGGTGGCTTGCTTTCTCACGTTCTCTCTCTCTCTCTGTGTCTCTCTCTGGTCAAATTAAAATAAATGAATGAATAAATAAAAATAAACAATTATTTTTTAAAAAATCATTAAAAAAAAAAAAAGAGGGACCTGCAGATGGCGTAATGGTTACTGGACTCTCATGTGACAAACGCTGTTCAAGTGTCTGACCTAGTGGCTTGAAACACGCTGGGCATGTGTGAATGTTTGCATAGATTCCCTAAAGGAGACTGGAGGAGAAAGGATTGCAGTGTGGCCATTGCTCCCACCCCCACTCCCACCCCACTCCACCCGACCCTGTAGGATTTCTCACTTTCTTTCTGGTAAGACCAGGTACCCTATAGCAAAAATCTGTTTAAAAAAAAAAGTTAAAAGAACAAAATAGATCTACCTCTTCAGACTAAGAGAATGTTTAACTCTTGATCTTTTCTTTCCATCACTGTCGTATTCTTTTTTTTTTAAGAGAGATTTTTGCTATAGGATGTGTGCACTCGCCAGAGAGACAGAGATACAGAAAGTGAGAAATCACCTCCCCGTCCCCCCACCCCGCGGGTATGGCCTCACTGCCATCTCTGCTCCATTCTCCTCTCAAAATTTTAAGCTCTCACACACACGCATCTAGCGTGAGTTTTAAGCCACCAGGTCTGGGACTTGAACTGTGGTTGACTATGCAGGAGTCCAGCAACGTAATCATTATGCCATCTGCTGACCCCATTATCACTGTCATATTCTTAGGAAGAGTTGGGACCAGCAGATAGCATAGTGGCTATGTCACTGGATTCCCATGTAGTCGACTGCGGTTCCAGTCCTGGACCTGGTGGCTTAAACTCATGCTGGGCACGTGTGCGTGCGAGCCCAAGATCCTGAGAGGAGAATGGAGGAGAAGGGATTGTGGTGTGGCCATCCCCCCCGGGGGGTGATTTCTCACTTTCTGTCTCTCTGTCTCTTTCTGGCGAGCGCACGTGCCCTATAGCAAAAACCTCTCAAAAAAAAAAAAAAAAAAGAGACCAAGACCAGAGAAGAAGGATTGGAGCCTCAGTAGA